TGTGTGTCTGTGTGTCTGTCTCTGTGTGTGTGTGTGTGTGTGTGTGTGTGTGTGTGTGTGTGTGTGTGTGTGTGTGTGTATATATATATATATATATATGTAGTTGCTGAAATTTCTTGGAATTCGCTTAATTTGTTTAATTATTGAACTTTATCAATATCACTTTATCATCCAAGCAGTACCAGAGGTGTTGATAATTTTTTATGGTAAAATATTTTCACTTTATAATAAATCAGGCTTCTTCATTCTCTCTCAGGTCTGCTAAGAAAAACTGGGAGGATGACAAGAGTAAAGCGCACCCAGAAAAAGACAAAGCACACTGTCTGTGGGACAGCATCACGATGACGATGAAGCAAATCACACCCACGAGGAAGATCGACAAGATTGAGGGCTGGGAGCCGCCTCAGCTGAATGATGGAATGGAGGAGGAAAAAAATGAGCTGGAGAAGAAGAGGAGCGACTCATCCCCGCTGTCCTCCCCTCTGTCGCTGTCTCTGCCGCATTCTCTGGGTTTACCGTCCTGGGTTGGCTTGGGTTCAGAGGAGGACTCGTCTCGTTACTCTAGTCTGACTGAATCACAGACGGGCGGCCCTGCCCAGTGGGCGGCTCGGGCACGAGATAAATTAGCTGCCGTTCGCCGCCGAAGTCCAGCCAGCCTATCAGAAAGTAATTGGGAGGGGCTAAAATGATTGACATATTAATGTCTGTGAGGATGGCCACACGCCCGTGTATACCAACTCTTAATTGGATAGCCCACTGATGTGAAGAGTAGGACCCTCAGACCAAGAGTGCCTGATTGAATGATTTGTCACTTTTCCATTTGATATAAAATGCGTGTCCAACGTTTGAATGGAGCTACTTCAGAGAAATCACTGGATGTACTCCTAGTTAATCACCATGCTGTTTAGTACATTACTTTTAAAGGCTATAAAAGACATTTAAACACTCAAAGGGAGAGTTCAACCAAAAATGAAGATCATTTATTCACCCTCATGTCATTCCAAACCTGATTTTTAAAATGTTCTTCAAACCTGTTATGTTGAACACAAAAGATGAAGAATAGCAGAATGTCCCAAGAAGCATAAACCTCAGTCAGACGCCATATTGAATTTAACGCAGATGATAACGTGGCTGTGAGGGATAGACTTTGCAGTCTTTACAATGGCATGTACTGTATACAGGTCCTAATCACATAAATTTCACATCTTTCGAAACTGTTTTATTAAGTTTTTGTCTACCAAAAGTTTTTCAGAAAGACATTTCGAAGGGTTAGCAATCGGCATGTTTTTAAATGGCTGTACAATACATTGAACGCGCTGTGCTACTTCTATCCCTCACAACCTCGTTTTTATCCCTGTTAAAAAATAAATATGGCACTGTCCTGACCAAGGTCTATTGTCTATTCGGTAGACATGGTAGCTGCTAAAATTACAATAAAGTCTCATAATATATATTCCAAATTACAGTTCAGATATTATGTGAGAAACAGCCAATGTCGTTGAATAAAGCAATAAGTCTCCATTCATCCTTCTGAAGTCATTGTATGAAAAGTCAGTCAGGACATTCTGCTATTCTTCTCTTTTTCACAGAATAAAATCAAACTGGTTTGGGGTGACATAAGGGTGAATAAACGACGACAGAATATTCATTTTGTAGGTGAACTCTGTCTCTTTAAATCCACGTTTTATTAGTGCACACTGCAGTACCCATCGAGACAGAGGGCGCGTCTCAATCGACAAACTCGCTCCTGACAATAGATCGATGCTTTGTATGTAATGCTTGAATCTTTGATTCACTTGTGACTTGTCATTAATTTATTTCACTATGTAGTTGAAGAGTGAAACGCCTTCCACTGATCAGTGTAGATCTACTGCCTGCTGTTTCACAATCATAATGTACTGTAATTACTCTATGCAATGATTTTCTTGCTATAATCCCAAACTACTTGCTATTTTGATCATGCTTACAATTTATTCAGTGGTGCCACTATTCAGTCACAAGAAGAGCTTACTGTGACTTGATGAGACATACAAGGAACAGCTATAAATTGAATGTGTATGTGCTCGGTCCTGTCGCTGGAGATTTGGAGCTTTCATCAAACAGCTAATTATAGTTATTGGATTCATTTGGGGAAAACACAGTCTTCTAGGATTGAAACTAAGTTCTGAAGCAGGTTGGATGAGTATCCAGATTTCTTATGGTAACGATTACCGTTACAAACCTTAATATTTGAAGCCTTCCAAAGACCTCAAGAGCTGTGCCATTTTATCATGAAGTATTCTTCTTTGCTGTGCCTCGACTTAAAATTCATTTTGTATTGTGATCACAACATCTTAACCAGTTATTCTCTTCCAACACGATAAAAATGACAATACTCATTTATAAGTCCAATATAAAATGTATTTTATAACCCTTTGGCCGATGCCATTGAACAGCCTAAGATCTTTGGTTTGCTAGAAGAACATGTCTGAGAGTCTTATTACTGATTTTAGGAGATTATTTATAATCGGATTCTGAAAGTAAGTGGGTTTGCTGCTCTTAGTTGTTCAAAGTAGCTTTATATAATTAGTCTACCAATGTGTTTAACTTTGAAAGATGATTAAAAATGGTTAGTTTCAGATTTTGCTCTTTATATTTTGGGCCTTTGCGAGAATCTTTTAGATTTCTAGCTCGATACTACTGAATGATTTTTTTTTTCTGTATTATGATTGAAATGCAAATAATAAAATGTTGTTCCAGGGGTTCAGATAAGTTGGTGAATCGGAATAAAAAGTTACTTTGTACTCGAGCATTTTTTCCCCCACAAAAAGTTTCTGAAAAACAAAATCCACATATTTTATTTAGAGCCGTTTTGGACTGTTTTCACAGTTAAATCAAGCATGATCTGTTCATATTTCTCTCCTGATTCAGACAAGATGTCCTTTTCACTGAAGAAAGCAATATTTTGGATAAACAACTCGTATTTTAGCTGGAAGTAAGAGTTTAAAGTTAAAGCGTCTTAATGATGGATTTGTATTTTACAACTTTTCACAAGACATTAATTGATATACTGAAGTCATGTGGATTATAGGGATGTTTTATCAGCTGTTTGGACTCATTCTGACGGCACCCATTCACTGCAGAGGATCCATTAGTGAGCAAGTGATGTAATGCTTAGTTTCTCCAAATCTGTTCTGATGGAAGAAACAAACTCACCTACATCTTGGATGGCCTGTGGGTTTGTAAATGTTAAGCACATTTTCATTTTTGGTGAACTATTCCTAGGCCTTGCTCTCTATCGGTCTTTTTTCTGGGCACCAAAAAAATCACAAGACCTATTTCCCAAAAGTTTTACTTATTTTAGGTAACGATGTTTCTTGCAAATGCTTGATCGTACCAAACACATCCTACACTTAACCCATTTCAATGACATTTATATTACTGGAATAGCAAAGGAATATTACAAAGTTCAGAGAAAGGATATAAAATACATTTGTTCATAAATAGCAAAGCTTACATTAGATTTTCCATCTGCCCTCGCAACAGATTTGACAAAAGTGTATCGTAAAAAGTTGTTTTGTGCAGCAAATGTACACTTTAGTGTTGACGCATCAAATATATACGCACAGCATGACAAAACGACACGAGAACCCACGTAAACATTAACCTACGACTACTTCTGACGTGCATTTCATTGGTATAGAAATGAAAATACATACATGAAAAGACAAGATAACCTCTGCTTAGGATCTCCCGGACACATTTCGCTTCAGTTTGTCTTTCCCAAAAGCAAGTTTGTTTTCTTTTTTTCCTTTTTTAACGAACAATCCTTCACATATCCCGCCTCTTTTTGCTGTTCATCTCCCATCTTTCTGTGCTTAAAGAACAAATGAATTCTCTGAGAACGCAATGAGGAACCAAAAAAAGAAAAGAAAAGAGGACAATACAATAGAACTACTGCTCAAACATTTGGGGCAAGAAAGAATATTTTCTTCAATAAATTAATATTTTTTTCACAAAAATGCATTCAACTGATCAAAAGTGACAGTAATGACATTTACAATGTTACGAAAGATCTCTATTTCAAATAAATGCTTTTCGTATGAACTTCGTATTCATCAAGGAATCCTGAAAAACATGTATCACAACAAAAATATTATGCAGCATTGCAATGTTTTCAACATTGATAATTATACGAAATGTTTCTTGAGCAGCAAATCAGCATATCAGAATGATTTCTGAAGGATCGTTTGACACGACTGAAGCAATGACTGATTTTGCTTTGACATCACATAAGTAAATTACATCTGAAAATATATTCAACCCTTCTTCGTTTTTCAAATTATTTTAAACATTGCACGATATTACTTCACTTTTTTTGCTCAGACTTGGTAAGCATAAGAGACATTTAACAAATCTTACTGACCCCAAATGTTTTAACGCTAGAGTATATACTGGTCCCCTATATTTTAAATAAAGATGACTGGAACAAACTGATGCTTGTATGTTGATAATAAGCTGTGGCTATAAGGTTTTCTGCCCACAAACTGCAATTATAGAAGACATTTGCACACACAAAAAAAGCATGCAGGGGTAGGAGCAATCAAGTGTGCACATACTGTACAGGGCTTCAACAAGGGAAACGTTTGAGAAGAGCACTTAAATCTACATAGTAAGGGAGGGATGTCTTGCTGTTTATTCACAGACCAGAATGTTTGACATTTAAATAAGGATTTCTTACATTCCAGAAGAGGATGCTACAGTGCTTGCAGAACTGCAGAGTATCTCCGTACTGTTCTTTCTGAGGGTAGTATTTCTGAAGTGTGAAAAACATCAGCTTCCAGTCCACATGGCCCTTCTCTGACAGAATCAAGTGCCTGCAGAACTGAACACACAAACAGAGAGCTCTGTGATGAACAAGCCTGACTGCCATCTTGTGGTCAATTAGGTCACTGACCCAACTTTCAGCTAGTTTTAATCTCCAAAGATAAATGGTTATTATTACGTGCTTAAACAGACAATTATATATGGACAATTCTTCAGTTTGAAGCATGACTACTTGAAATATTGATATATATAGTATACGTGGATTTGTGTGTGATGGTAAATGACAGTATCTCTAACTGATGAAACATCCAATTAGAACTGTTTATGAGTGACTTAATAAAGTCTTATTCCTCACCTGTTTCTCAGCAAAATGAAACTGGCACAGTTTCTTCCACAGATGCCGGTCCTCACTGAGCATGTGCAGTGTTGGTGTGGCTTGTCCCAGATTGATGATATCACAGGCATCACTAAACTTATACAGGATGTTGTTTTGCATGTGCAAAGGGAGGTCACTCAGCGTCATGCCATTTGAAACTTGCTGCAACAAGACATAGGCTATTTAGCATTATATTTTACCACTGATTATTATTTTTCTGCATTTTTATAATATTTAGTCATTTGGCCTTACTTTACTAATTACTTACCCTCATGTCGTTCCAAAAGACCTCCGTTCAGCTTCAAAACACAAATTAAGATATTTTTGATGGCATCTGACAGCTCTCTGACCCTCCCATAGACAGCAAGTGTCCTTACACGATCAACGTCCAGAAACGTAGCAAGGAGATCGGTAAAATAATCCATGTGACATCAGGTGTTCAACCGTCATTTTACGAAGCTACGAGAATACTTTTTGTGCGCAAAAGAAAAGAAAAAAACTTTATTCAAGAATTCGTCAATAAAGTCCTTTTTTTTTTTTTTTTGCACACAAAAAGTATTCTCGTAGCTTCGTAAAATTACAGCTGAACCCCTGATGTCACATGGATTATTTTACCGATGTCCTTGCTACGTTTCTGGGCCTTGATCGTGTTCATTACATTGCTGTCTATGGGAGGGTCAGAGAACTCTCAGAATTCATCAAAAATATCTTAATTTGTGTTCCGAAGATGAACGGAGCTCTTATGGGTTTGGAACAACATGAGGGTAAGTAATTAATGACAGAATTTTCATTGAACTATCCCTTTAAATACATGTGATATATTATTTATTATTTAGTAATGTTTTATTAGTTTATTGATTTATAATTAATTTAAGGTTATTATTTATTATTTTATATGAATTATATATTATGTGATGACATTTATTTTTTTATATAATAAATGCATACTGTAACAAAATTTAAAATGCTACATGATATCGAACAATAATATAATCATATTATTTATTAATCATCCCACTACTCACAACTAGATGTGTGTTGACTGTGAAACGGATCTGTGCATTTATACAAATTAATTAATTTATCTTTCCTTTTCTGGTGCTCATTCAGAAAACCCACTGACCCACTTTTGCCCACGCCTAACCCCTAAGAAAATTATGAAAATACTACCTTTGGAATTTGTAAATTGTTGAGCTGCTGCTGCCAGTTTAAGATGGTTTCTAAACGGCAGACCCAAATGTTGATGTTGCCAATCAGCACAGACTTCCCAACTTCTCGAATGAGGATGCAGAGCGCGGAGCTTAGATCATTCAACAATGCCTTGATCAGACGTGGGTTCTGATGGTCGTCCAGAACTGCGCGATTAAAAATGAACAAATATACATGTACATTTGTATAAGCACATATATCAGGACAATATGTCTTCCGCATTTTCTATGCAACTGGATAAAGTCAGAAAAAAAAAAAGATCAGCTCACTTTTTCTCACAATCTTCTCCAGGACATTGAAATAGTTTTTCTGAGCAGCTCCACTCAAAGACGTCAGCTGGGATTTGGCAATCAACTGCAGAAGCTAAGAGAAGTAAACACAGTGGATAACGTGAGAGAGGATACAGAAGGAAAGCAGAGTAAGTCAATCAAATGGAGAGAGGCATTCTTGCAATTGTTCTTACTTACATTGACCACATAGTTGAAGCGCCTCACATCCTGAATGGCGCTGGAAAAGTCTAGACGATTGAAGGCCTCACCAAGCGTACAGTACCCATGCCTCTGCAACAACAAACACACGGTTCACATTTGACAAAGCTTAGAAAAGACTACCGATGGAAGAACTGTGATATATAAACAATGGCATCAAATGTTCTATGACTCATGTTGTTTGTTTGCTACTCTTTGAGTCTTGTACATGTTGATGCTATGACATAATTCATCTCACCTCTCGCGTACTCTCCTTCTGAACGTAGATCCACCTCTCCTGGAACAAAACTGAGAAAAACAATCAAATAAATTTCATCTACTGTATATACTATAACTTTAAAGGTATGTGAAAATGAAAATTCTCTCACTTACTCACCCCTATACTGTTCCAAACGTGAATGGCATTCTTTTTTCTGTGGAACGTAAAAGAAGATATTTTGAAAAATGTTGCTAACCAAACAGTTTCAAATCAATGGGAACTGAAACTGTGTGGTTAACCAAATTTCCTTCAAAATATGTTCTTTTGTGTTCCACAGAAGAAAGAAATGCGTAGATGTGAGTAAATGATGACAGAATTTTCAACTGCTTAGGTTTATATTTGCATTTATCTGTGATTGGCTAAGATGTAAAAAAAAAAAGTAAATTAGTAATCATTGCACAGCTCTCTAGAAAACTTGATTGGACACTTGTAGCATTCTATGGTCATATATTTTTGTATAATGAACACTAAACTGTATAATGGCCCACTGTCTAAAGAAAACTATTGTTTTGATAATCAAGTGTGATGTAATAAAATATTATATCATTTTTACACTGTGACTTAGTGTTGTTGTTGAAGAAGTCTTTTTTTCTCTTCTTGGCAGCTACTTCACAGACATCTCCCACGTAGACATTCTCCTTGTCATTGTCCAATCTGTAAAGTTAATAAGGTGAAGTTTATTATGACTATAACAAAATACGCTTTAGACATTACATTTCCTTTTAAGCCATATTATTCAGAGTGACCTACAAAAAGTATATGGTCGTGTGATAAACAGATGGCAAGCATGCAATTTAGACTGTTATCTGCTAGGAGCACTAACTAGTACACATAAACTTTCATTATTAATCCAAGTATTGCTAAACGAGTTCTGAAGATCTGAAGATGTTTTCGCTTACACAGGTGAGTGTGCGCTCTATTGTCTAGTGAAATTTAACACAGAGATCACATGTGATGCAGAGGTACACTAAAACTATCCAAACACCTACTTGCGTCTTCACACATCCAGACGGTTTCAAATGTTCATGTTTCCTCGTAGTCTGTCTGACCGACCTCAGATCTGTTGTTTCCATGACAGCATGGTCAGACTAAGGTGTTTTTAGCTCAGTCAGTGTATCATTGTCTGAATGCATTCAAAACCAGTTCACAGCTGGCTATTATTCTACGCTACTCCAGACAATAACCACAGACGGCTTAAATAACACACACCAGGTCTAAACACGGACATCTGACTTCCCACATGCCACATACACACTTCCTTTTTAGACTGTTCCTCAATGCTTTTCTGAGGTGGTGTAGCCTTGTGGTTAAAGATCGGAGGTGGTAACTGAAAGGCTGTAGGTTTGAACCCCAAAACTGTCACCCTAGAACTGTCACTACATTGCACTGAAATATTTCAAAGCATTTCTTACTCTTCCAAGGAAAGTTCATTGATGTTGTCTCCCAGTTTGTGGTTGAAATATTCAAAGCGTTTCCAGCCATCCTCAGTTTTGATCCAGCTCCAGCCTGGTGATCTCCAGTCTTGGCCCAAGAACGGCATCTTCTTCCACCTGCTGCAGAGATCTGAATACAAGAGACTCTTATCTCAAACCACTATAATTTAGGCTTATCACATATCACGTGATGAAACAATATCATCCTGATCTGATCAGACAACACACAATAACAGTCACTCAAGGTTTAAGAGCCTTATTTCACAATCTTGATGTAAAACATTATCTTTGTAAACGCAAAAACGCATTTTGATGTTAATTTGTAGATTGTAGATGAGATTCTGGCTCCTTGAACAACTACTGCCAATAAATTTGCTCAAATGCAAACCCTGCCAAGAACCTTATCTTTTTAAGCGTCGACAAAACACTAAAGACAGCTCAAATCTCTACCTCTATCGTTGTTTTACTCGCAAAATCCTGTATTTGTATTCATAATAAACGTATATTTAACTTTACTTACAGCGAGTCCTTTGTTATGTGATTATTTTCTTCGTTTCTTTGAATATTGACGGAAGTAAACATTCAGAAAAGCGGAATGTAAGGCACGCCTCTCATCGTTTGTGATTGGCCGCCGTGTTTGTATTTATTTTGTTGCTACCCGGAATTCCCAAGCTGATTGGTTCTCGGCCCTGTCGATCACTGTCCGATTTATTCCGAGCTCTCTGCGGCTGCAGTTTCTTACACGTGACACAGACGCTGCACATGTTGTCATGTTTTGATTTTGTGATGGGGGAAGGGAAATGGAGAGAATGAACGATGGAATAAACTGAAGTAAACATTTCACTGCTTGGTTTTAGATAGAAGGAATAAATAGGTTGATTTGCAAATCCCCTCAGCCAGCCGTGAGTAAAGCTTTGTGAGATAAAAACCAAATTATTAAAAAAAACAACAACAACAAGACAATGAACAGCAGCTAGAAAATGTAAAGCTGTAAATTCTTAATTTTAATCATGTCTTATTTCTAATGTATTCTTGTATTTCATCGTAGTTATACAATTGTATTATATTGCATTTTAATACTTACTGTATTTTTAATATTATATTTATATTTGAGTTTTTAGTTTATTTTATTAACTATTTTGTGTGCATTGATGAAGTACATAAGATGAAGTCTGTTAAACTAAAACCTGTCTAAAAACTAAAAACAGTTCAACTGAAACCGGTCTTTATTATACTGTATAGTTAACCTTTATCTGAATGTGTGTCAGTGTGGTTTCATTGTGCTCACTCCACAGTTATTACCAAATATGACAATATTGGATATAGGTTTTATGTTTATATGAAGGACACTATTCAAAACAATTTCCTAACTAGGTGTCTAGCTATCTGCTACAGAAAACAACTATTTGGTCATTTGACTTAGAATAGATAGGCCTAGTTCACCCAAAAATTCAGAAAAATTCTGTCGTCATTTACTCAATTTACAGAAATTTCTTCCAAACCTGTATCTGTTGAACACAAAAGAAGCTGTTTTAAGGAATGTCGGTAACCAAACAGTTGACCAAACAGGTCCCCGTTGACTTTTATAGTATTATTTTTTTCATACTATGGAAGTCAATGGCTGCCGTCAACTGTTTGGTTACCAACATTCTTCAAAATATCTTCTTTTGTGTTCAACAGTAGAAAGAAACTCATATGAGTTTGGAACAGGTGGAGGGTGTGCAAATGATGAGAGTTTTTCATTTTGGGGTGAACTAAGTCCTGATATATATGCCTTGCATCAATTTCCTTATGTGACATTTGACTCATATTTGTGTCAAGTAAAGCCCCACCTAGATGAAAGTCTACACCAGGCTGCAGGGTATTAGAAGTCATGCCATTTGAACCAGTGAGAAGGCCAAGCAGAAAATTACATACTGTGTACATAAATGCTTAGAAGCATTAGTGAACATAGCAAGTAACTTATGTGTGTGTGTGTGTGTGTGTGTGTGTGGTGCCAATAAATTATTATGTTCCAGTAAGGCTTCATGACCCCTGAATATTTTTTTTATTTGTACCATCTGAATAGAATGGACATCAGCTAAAATGTTTCTTACTTCATAATTTTTATAAAAGACACAAATGCCAACAACAGTCATACATCCTGCTCTTTTGTTTTTGACGTGTTTAGAAAAACTTGTCAGTTTGTATATGTAAAGCAAAAATGAGAATAATTCTGACATGCATCCACAGCTGGAAGCCAAAAAACCTTGCATTTCCAAAAATTATTTAAAGGGGTCATTATTTTGTGTATTTGGTGTAATGAAATGTGTTTATGCAGTTTAAAGTTAAAAAAACATTATTTTCCACATACTGTACATTATTGTTTCTCCTCTATGCCCCGCCTTTTTGAAACACGTCGATTTTTACAAAGCTCATCGGTCTGAAAAGCGAGGTGTGCTCTGATTGGCCAGCTATTCAGTGCGTTGTGATTGGCCGAATACCTGACGTGTGTGACGGAAATGCGCCCCTACCATACTGTTGATGCCGTGTCCCGGCCGGAGCAACGAAACAAAAAACATGAAAACACATTACAAATGAGGCATTTGTTGCATCCAGTGGGGACATAATTACTGATTATAATGACTTATACTGTCCTTTTACGCGTTGCGTTGCATCGCGCCGCGTAAACATAAAACCATGTCTGCATTTGTGAACTGAGAAATTACAAACAACAAGCGCTACTCTACACTGCTCAAAACTCGCGTTTGAATCATCAGTGGCAAATTCTTTAAATGAAAACGTACTTACAGACTGTGAGTCAGAACAGCCGGCATTGTAGTCTACTCTTCCAGGATCAGTTCTGGAACAGTGTTGTAAATACAACTTAACCACTGATTTGTAATTGTGTCCTCTTTTGGAAGACCAAACAAAGTAGTTTCGCAGAGACGCAGGCTTGAGAACGGCGCGGCCGGCGGATTCGACGAAGGAGCAGCAACCACATGTGACGACCCCGGACTGGAATCCGCTTCGTCCACAGTGAAAGCCGATCCGGCGATCCACAGCACTAAGTTGATGTATTTCCTCAGCGACCAGCACGGATCAGCTCTAAGCATGACGAAGCGGATATCGTCCACTTTTGGAAGACCAAACAAAGTACTTTCGCTTTTACAACGAAACACACAGTTCTTCACGACATGGCGATGGCAACAATACTACAGCGAGAATAAAAGCTACGCCTTTTTTCTTTGCGTGAACATTTGGGCGGCGTTATGCAAATCTTCCCACATAGTGACGTAGATATGTGGGGGCGTGTTAGAACGAGACATTTTAGGTAGGCGTGGGTAACCCTTACCTTTTATAAAGAATATCTCTTTGGATTTGAGACTTTAGTCTTTGCAACTTTACAGATCTTCTTTATGCACCAAGAGCTTGAAATACTCCAAAGAGAAAGGAAAAATTGAAATCGCATCATATGACCCCTTTAAAGTAGTGTAAAGGCCACAAACACTCCCTCTGCAAGATCTAACCTGCCACAGTCTGCATGTGAGAGTCCAGAGGGGTAAGTTTTTGTGTGCGTGTGAAAACAATGGGTAAAGAAAAAAAAAAGCCAGTTGCCAAATCTTCAGTCATGTGCAGAATGATGAAAAGAAACACTGGGTTCAGTTAAGTAACATCTGTAAAACCTGTGTTGCTTTTTCACTATAAATATGCATTTATGGTCATTAAAATACTTGTGCCAATATCTACTTCTTGAAATATATTTAAAAATACAAGAGCTATAATCCAACAGATTTACAAATACTAATGTAAACTGCACACACTCTTAGATAACGGTAACAGTGCTAGAAAGGTAAGAAAATGTTTTGATCATACATAGCATTTTTGAATAGCGTGTCAGGTTGTTTAACTCAACAATGCATACACTTTATCAAGTTACTTAAAATACCATTTCATACATTTCATATTTGCAAGGCATATTGAGTCAGGGAAGATATGACTAGACAGTCAGCAGTCAGACGGAATAAACAGACACCTAATCTTTGAACTAAAGTGACAGTGGCACAAATTAAATACACCCATATTGGGTGTGAATGTACTTGCTTTTTGTTCACCGTTTCCGTTGTTGCACAACAATGGACAGAAGTGCTTGGTGCTACCCTCTGCATTCAATAGCTGACAGGCTTGATGGCCTGTTTGGCTTGAACGTCATTTGTCTCTGTAAACTATACTGTATCCATATATATTCATGTGCAAAGTTGGTTTTCACATAACACTACCGAAATAAAATGCAACTGAAATTCTTTTCTAAAAAAAACAAATCAGATTTTTAATATATTACAAAATCAAGTAACATGATATCTGGAATACGTAACCAGGATCAAGTACTGGCATGTACAAAAGGCTTAACCAACCAATACAGCAGTTTGAGGTCCTAAAACCAGCCAGATAATTAGCCATTAATTAACAGCCATGTGTTCTCTTTGGAATTTCCTATGGGTTTTTAGAATGGCGGTTTTGGATTTATGAGTAAAATACGGTCTGTACTTAGCATTCCCTTAAGAAATATTAATGTCAACATAAATTACACACTAACAAGCTGCTAAAGAAAGACTAAAACTACCACAAGGACGTGTATGTGCTTGACAAAACTGTTGTTGTCCCTAAATAGCAATTTGTTACAGATGCTTTCAGGTGTAAGGTATAAATTTGTACAACAAAATATTAACCACAGACCTACTCACAAATCTTAAACCACCATTCTAAAACCTCATAAGAACTTGGTGAATTAGCCAGTTAGTTGAATATGAAGGAAATGAACATGTCAGCCAACTCAATCAGGCAGAGAGAGTCCCTGATTGGCTAAATACGAAGATGTTTACAGAGTCAAGGGATCACAGCACACGTATATCAGAGACATCTATTTGACATCTGCATTTACATCTGCAAGACGCATTTTAGAGTGTTTGCTCATCTGCAATATGACGTCTATCAGATGGCAAATAGACGTTTATTAGATGTCTTCAAGATGTTTTTGATTTAGAATGTATGTAAAACTGACATCTTACAGACGTCTGTCAGATGTTTGTATATACAGCAGATGCTAGCCAGGTCATTTTATGCATGATACTGGCAAAACCAGCGCTTTTAACATGACCCAAATTAAAGGGGTCATATGATGCTAATATTCTATGCATTATGCTAATATTTCCACATAGTGATGTAGATATGTGGTGGCGTGTTAGAACGAGCAGTTTTAGGTAGGAGTGGTTGACTCTTAACTTTTATAAAGAATATCTCTTTGGATTTGAGACTTTAGTCTTTGCAACTTTACAGATCTGCTTTATGCACCAAGAGCTTGTAACACTCCAAAGAGAAAGGGAAACTTCGCATCATATGACCCCTTTAATCCAGATCTCGAAGAGTCTTTCCCAACTCCGCCGCATTTCTGCAACTGTAAAGCCACTTGATGATCCGAGCGTTGCGCTCGACCACCGACGACCCCTGACGCACAGTCTCCTTCAGCTCCTCCTCCTGCAGGCCGTCGCTGCTCCTCGAGAACCCGTCATCTGAAGTCGAGACACTGATGCTCCGGATTTTGGAGCTGAGGTCTTCTGAGCGCGCGGAGAAGTTCTCTCGTCCCAGGTACTCGATGACGTCACCCTCGAGCCCGCAGTATTTGAAGAACGCGTCGAAGTCCGCGAAGTTTTTTGAGTAGCGCGAGCTGATGTCAGAGCTGGAGCGCGCCACCCCCCTGCGGCTCCTGCGCTCCTGCTCCTGGGTTTCAGTGACTTTCCTGTGAGGAGGTCCTTTCGGCTCACCGTTTGTCTCACCTGAGTGCCCGTTTGAGATGGGTAAAGTTACCCGAGTGGCTTTACGTGTGGCGCATTCACCACCGCGCGCCTCAAACGCGTTTGTCTTGTCTTTAATAGCGAATAGCGACTTTTTCATCAATCTCCTACTCCCGCCAGGCGATCCTCTTAAGAGTTCACACTTTTGTCTGTATAGTAAAATCGAGTCTCGTTTCTTCGAGCTGCTCCGTCTCACCACATTACTATCTTCTTCAGGCGACTGTGTATCCTCAACATCAACATTAGCGGTGTTATTAACGGAACCGAGTCCGTTTAAAGACCCTTGGCTGCTCACGGAGGCAGACCCAATGCTGATAACCGGTTCCACTTGTTGGCTTTTTACATATTGAGGTTTAGTGGCTGCCAACCTCTCCACCGCACTGACGCGTCCTTTATTCGCCTCGCTTTCTCGCTCCATCTGTCTCCTCAAAAACTCGGGCCCCTTCACAAGAATGTGCGACGCGTCCACGTCGGCCGAGCCTTGCGTTTTCTTCAGCATTATGCAGGCTAGTATTTCGTGTTAAGTCCACAACAGCTGTGTTGCAAAATGTTTTGAGGGGTCCGATAGTGAGTAGAGATGAGAGCGCACTGACGCACACCTTTACCTGTTCATACTACTCATCAACTCCACCCATTAACAGGTCAAGACAACGCGAGCTCTGGCAGTGAGGAAGATGTGGAAACGTAGATTGTGACTTAACCTCTTCAAAATAGGGCTTGCAAAATACTTTTACATCTCTATAGAATATTTTTATTAAAATATTTTTAGAATTTACTCTCATGTCATGTTCCAGTCATTTTGAACCAAAGAGGGTTTTCTTTTTCCTGAAAATGCGTTAACTTACTTACTTTGCTCACACAATGTATGACAAATATGGATACTTTTATACTTTAGGATTTCTTTCCCACCTTGTTGTAGTGTTCCTGGTCAAAAATGGCCAAAAAATTGCTTGTAAAACCACCATAATGATATACCTATTATAATATATAATTTCTTTGTCAACTTGCTTTCTTTCAATTAGCACGGTTTTGTTTTTTTCTTTTTGGAACTGATTGTTCATAGGTCTCTTTGATCGAGCACCTGCACCTCATTTTTGACTGAACGCTGATAAAATTTACAATTTTTGTACTAAAAGGCTGAGGTGTATCAGCTCAAATAAATTAGGCCTGCAATCAATCAGTTCCAAAAAAGAAAAACAAAACCTGTGGTAACTGAAGAAAAACAGTTTCAGCACAGCACAAAGAGTTAAACAATGAAGGAATTTATAGGGATAGTTCACCCAAAAATGAAAATTCTGTCATTATTTACTCACCCTCATGTTGTTCCCCCCCTGCGGCTCCTGCGCTCCTGCTCCTGGGTTTCAGTGACTTTCCTGTGAGGAGGTCCTTTCGGCTCACCGTTTGTCTCACCTGAGTGCCCGTTTGAGATGGGTAAAGTTACCCGAGTGGCTTTACGTGTGGCGCATTCACCACCGCGCGCCTCAAACGCGTTTGTCTTGTCTTTAATAGCGAATAGCGACTTTTTCATCAATCTCCTACTCCCGCCAGGCGATCCTCTTAAGAGTTCACACTTTTGTCTGTATAGTAAAATCGAGTCTCGTTTCTTCGAGCTGCTCCGTCTCACCACATTACTATCTTCTTCAGGCGACTGTGTATCCTCAACATCAACATTAGCGGTGTTATTAACGGAACCGAGTCCGTTTAAAGACCCTTGGCTGCTCACGGAGGCAGACCCAATGCTGATAACCGGTTCCACTTGTTGGCTTTTTACATATTGAGGTTTAGTGGCTGCCAACCTCTCCACCGCACTGACGCGTCCTTTATTCGCCTCGCTTTCTCGCTCCATCTGTCTCCTCAAAAACTCGGGCCCCTTCACAAGAATGTGCGACGCGTCCACGTCGGCCGAGCCTTGCGTTTTCTTCAGCATTATGCAGGCTAGTATTTCGTGTTAAGTCCACAACAGCTGTGTTGCAAAATGTTTTGAGGGGTCCGATAGTGAGTAGAGATGAGAGCGCACTGACGCACACCTTTACCTGTTCATACTACTCATCAACTCCACCCATTAACAGGTCAAGACAACGCGAGCTCTGGCAGTGAGGAAGATGTGGAAACGTAGATTGTGACTTAACCTCTTCAAAATAGGGCTTGCAAAATACTTTTACATCTCTATAGAATATTTTTATTAAAATATTTTTAGAATTTACTCTCATGTCATGTTCCAGTCATTTTGAACCAAAGAGGGTTTTCTTTTTCCTGAAAATGCGTTAACTTACTTACTTTGCTCACACAATGTATGACAAATATGGATACTTTTATACTTTAGGATTTCTTTCCCACCTTGTTGTAGTGTTCCTGGTCAAAAATGGCCAAAAAATTGCTTGTAAAACCACCATAATGATATACCTATTATAATATATAATTTCTTTGTCAACTTGCTTTCTTTCAATTAGCACGGTTTTGTTTTTTTCTTTTTGGAACTGATTGTTCATAGGTCTCTTTGATCGAGCACCTGCACCTCATTTTTGACTGAACGCTGATAAAATTTACAATTTTTGTACTAAAAGGCTGAGGTGTATCAGCTCAAATAAATTAGGCCTGCAATCAATCAGTTCCAAAAAAGAAAAACAAAACCTGTGGTAACTGAAGAAAAACAGTTTCAGCACAGCACAAAGAGTTAAACAATGAAGGAATTTATAGGGATAGTTCACCCAAAAATGAAAATTCTGTCATTATTTACTCACCCTCATGTTGTTCCAAACCCGTAAGAACTTTGTTCATCTTCGGAACACAAATTAAGATCATTTTAAAGACATCTGAGAGCTTTCTGTCCTTGCATAGACAGCAACGCAACTACCACGTTCAAGGCCCAGAAAGGTAGTAAAGACATAGTTAAAATAGTCCGTGTCACATACTGTAAGTCCCTGGTCTGTCTAGATGTTGCAGAACATAATGTAGTCCCATGTTTACTGCATCGTCCACAGACCTGTTTGCTCTGTAGGCAAACTGAAGAGGATCCAGCAAGGGTCCAGTGATGTCCTTCAGGTGGGCCAGCACCAGTCTTTCAAAAGACTTCATGACCACAGACGTTATAGCCACAGGTCTGTGGTCATTAAGTCCAGTAATTTTGGGTTTCTTTGGGACGGGGATGATGGTGGAGCGTTTGAAGCATGAAGGGACTTCGCACAGCTCCAGTGATCTGTTGAAGATCTGTGTGAAGATGGATTCAACATGGATGGATGTTGGATCTGTGTGAAGATTTATTCAGCAATTCCTTCTCTTCTGTGTCAGTATTTGATGCACGTTCCTTACAACGCGTGTGTGTGCATTCCTCTGCTTGTAAACAAGGTGCTGAGCATCCGGGTTCTACGTCAGAACGCCGGCTCCTGCATCAGCAGTGCCACATGCGTGGTACTCTCGTGAATGCGTTTCGAAGACTGACACAGAAGAGAAAATGTTGTTTTCTTTGTGCACAAAAATTATTCTTGTAGCTTCTTAAAATTATGATGTCCTTACTACCTTACTGGGCCTTGAATGTGTCAGTTGTGTTGCTGTCAATGCAGGGTCAGAAATCTCTCAGATTTCATCAGAAATATACTAATTTGTGTTCCAAAGATGAACAAAGGTCTTATGGATTTGGAACAACATGAGGGTGAGTAATGAGTATTTTCATTTTTGGGTGAACTATCCCTTTAAGGAGGCTGGGTTTATTGTTAAACCTCTTTAATCCAGGCAATATTTGAAAAGTCTAAAAAATCTAGTTCAATTATATTTTGTAACAACAGATATCTTTTTAAAATGATTTTATTCTTGACCTGGTTCTTGTTTTTTCTCAACATCTGTTTATGCATTGTGTGGCCTGATCCAATATTTCTCCCTGTGTGCAGGGTTGTCGTGTCAAACAAAGTAATAAAAAAATGAAAAACATCTTTTGACATCTGACCTGCTAATTTTTTGTTTGTGCATATGGGACTATCCAAAGAGGTAATTTCATAAGTGTTATCATGTGTCTGCACTTAATAAAAAGAAGCAAACACATGCACTACACATAAACTTTAATTGGCTTCCACTCCTACTCTAATTAAAAGCATTCAACAGATTTAGATTTATTGCAAAGAGACATTGGGAGGGGATTTAGATGAATGCAGAATCTCCATGAAACCAGTAGATAGCAGCACACTTGAGGAGGTGATGCACTGTTTGTTTATGAGAGTGCATGATGAGCAGTTACTTCATAACCTCTAATCCATT